TCATTAAATAAATAAAATATATATATCAGATTATTTATTTATACTAAAGTTACCATAATATTAAAAAAGTATCTTAAAACATGTTACGTATAAAATATATGTATATCCTTATTATATAAATATATAAAATATATACATCAGATTATTTATAATACTAAAGTTACTATAATATTAATAAATTACTTTCCTTTTTATATATATGTATATACATATATATCTATATATATACATATACAACTATCCATGGGTAATTATCCATACCCATCCAACCTCCTATCCAAATAGTTCATGAGACCCAATTAGTTAGCCCATTACCACTAACCATAACCATAAAATAAAATAAAACATTTAATCATTCAATTTACAATTAATTATAATTAATCAAATACATCATTTAAGCACATAACCTAATTAAACAATTAACACATAGACAAATACAAATAATACATAGACACATAATCAAGTAATACCTAATTCAATTAAACACATAAACAATTAGTATAGACAAATACAAATAATACATAGACACATAATCAAATAATCAAGTAATACATAATTCAATTAAACACATAAACAATTAGTCAAATAATCAATTAAATAATTAAAAATATAATTAAAATAAATAAATAAATACCGAGACTATCCTTTTAAAATTAGGGGTATTACAGTGATGGCCGAAGGGAGAGGAAGGGGCAGAGGCAGCCGTGGTAGAAGTGATGGAGGGAAAGGCAGAAGGGGCTTCGGAGGAGGAATCAAGAAGCCCCGGAGGCTCCCGAGGTGGCAGTGGCTTAAAAAATTGTGGTGGCGGTAGGGGTGATCATGAAAGGGAAGGAAGGGGCAGAGGCGGCCGTACGTGGTGGTGGAATGTAAGGAGGGAGTAAAATAGCGGTTGAGCCTCATAACCATCGCAGAGGCCCTCATCACCGCCGGACTGTACTTGGCCAACCCCACTGACCTCTTCTTCAGAGGTGGCAGAACCACTCTCGTCTGGAACCATCTCATGAGGTTCACCATCCGCCGTCTCATCGTCGTAAAATGAGGCCTCAACCTTAATTTCACCGTCAACGTTAACCAAACTCCGGTGGTAAGCTCTTATCCTTACTAGACGGCAAATACCAGCAAATCCAGACCCTTCTCATCAGTTGCCATATCACCGATGACACATTAATGGCGTCACGAACTCGCTGTCCTTCATCGTCGCCAACAGCCATCAACAGCTGGGTTTGTGATATGGCTTTGTTTGATGACACACTGAGTTAACTCAATAGATCGGCGCTAAACTTTGGCTATGGGGTTGAATTGAATGGCCAGAATAAACATAGTGATGGTGGTGATGGAGCGTAGGAGAAAAGGGTAAAATAGGAAAAGAAAATGGCAAAATAGGGCTTTTGAATTTATTTATGTCAATTTTGATCAAAAAATGGTCAGAATGACTTATTTGCACATTTTTTAATTTTATGAATTGAAATGCAAATTTTCAAAAATAAGGGACTATTTATGCATAAACCCTGTATACCAAGGGTTTTTTTGCACTAAACCTATAAATTTATATTAGAGAGGGTATTAATGTCTTTTTATGCGAACATGGGGTAATTGCACCAAATTGATAGTATATGGGGATTTATACCACACATGGATTGTTTTGCACTATATCGATAGTAGAGAGGGGTTTTTTGCACTTAACCCTTAAAGTAAAGGTGCATGTGATAATATTAATAGGCTAACCACTACTTTTTTTTTCTCGAAAATTCAAACAAAACACAATGTGAATATTTACAAGAAAGCAATTAAGTCCAGAGCTTGGCAATCAAGCTCAAACTACTGTATCAATACACAAAGAACCAATAACCTAACGGCTATATATTCAAAATGAAATATAACTGAAGGTGGTGAATATTGGAGTAGACCTGTCAATAGAGCGGATCCTGGTCTAGATTTGATTCGATTAGTTGGATATGGCTAGATTGAAAAAAAAATTCGATAACCCGATTACGATTTGAATCCAATAATCCATTAGCTTAACAAATCAGATATGAATTATGCTGATTCGATCCGATAATAATCTGATCCGATCTGAATAAAATTATATATATAAATAATTATTTATTAAAAATTTTACACACACACACACACACACACATATATCAATACTCCTATCAAATTTGTATTAGAGGTAACCCAATTTTTTTTTTTTTTTTTTAAAAAGTCACAATATTATATATACAATAGTGTGGTGTTCTTACCTACATACTAATAAATCTCTATATATACTAATAATATCATACTCTTTATTCATTAACAAAAAAGCAATAATTTTTTTTTTTCTTTTCCTTTCATATTTACCTTATCTTTTGTTTTATATTTTTTTTCTTATAATCATTGTTTTTTATATTCTCTTTTGACATTAATTTATATATATATATATATAATTATTAAAAAATCTACATTTTTATCGGATCGAATATCGGATTTGGATTAACATACAAAATATCCGTCAAATTATCGAATCGAATCGAATTAACTAAAATACTTATCGACCAGCTAGTCAATTCTAAACTATAACAATCCAATCTGTTTACGAATCTATGTTGAAGTGAGAATACAAAATAATGTATATATACAAAACACTCCTTTTAATTAGCTAGTTGGGCTAGCTGGGTTAACCAGCTAGTCAATTCTAAACTATAACAATCCAATCTGTTTACGAATCTATATTGAAGTGAGAATACAAAATAATATATATATACAAAACACTTCTTTTAATTAGCTAGGTGGGTTAACCAGCTAGTCAATTCTAAACTATAATTTCTATTGCACGGCTTATTCAAGTAAGTAGTATTTGCTTACTGTTTAGTGAGGGGTAAGTGGTTAATTTCAAAGGTAGTTCCTTCTTGTTGGTTGCTAAAAGGACCAAATTGATTGATTGAAAAGTGTTTGGTTCTAATTCTGTAACTCCATCCAAATTTTTATATATATAAGGGGGAATGAAGTTGTTTCACCATCCAGGGTCCTATATATATTTCATAATTATTAATGCGCCTTTGACGCACACATCTCATAAAAATATTTTATTGCATTCTCGTATTTAAAATATAAAAATAAAAAAGAGGGGAATATATATGTAGCATCTACATACATATATATAGACACAGTTATTATTATTTATTTTTATTTTTTCACGGTGACAATATAGGACACTTCTCCAATTTTTTTTTTTTTTTTTTTTTTTTTTTTTTTTTAATTATGAGATTTGAACTATCAGCCTATCCCTTTGGATTTATGTATGCACACGTGCATAGCTTTTTATTTTTATTTTTATTTTTATATTATTATTATAATATATATATTTGAAAAAAATCACGTTAGGATCAAGTTGTGATAATTGTGTAATGAGTATTCTATTTCAATATTATATTTCTTAATCTAGAAACTCACACACCACATGTTCCTATTGGGACGTGAATTCTTATGATACTTTTTGAAATTTTAAAATAAAAATTTAAAGATTTAAGTATTCACATAAACAAAGTAGGTGCGTTAAAAAAATTTAACTCAAAATTTTCATTTTTCTGTTATTCAAATTCTTAAATGTTTAAAAATTCCTATGGTCTTTCCCTTTAATGCTTTTTCCATATAACAAAACAAAGTCTTGAGAAACATTTTTTCCTTTCTTTATTAATGTAACCAATATTAAAATCATTATTTCTAGTTTCTTGTCATGATACTGCTTCAACCATGATTATGATTATGGATTTGTGGATATTGAAATATGATTGTGGATTTGTGGATACTTTAATCACAATGGGCCGTTTCTATGCAAATTGGTTTATGAGGTTAAATACTTCGACGTTAATAAATTGGGTTGAACTGAACCAATTTATTTATATAGCTCATAATATGATTAAATTTGAATCCCTTATCACCTTAATTAATCGCATGGTTGGAAAAATCAAACGGTTTTATGAAATCATGAATTATATTGATATAACAAGTTTCAAATATAAAAAAACTAAAGTCAATTCGGATAATATGATGAAACTTATTTACAGAGACATTATATATATACTTTTTATATATCTGATATGTGACGTGTTATATTTGTGTGTGACGTGTCACTTTTTGTAATACATTTTGTTAAATGTGTTATTTTTCTTTCATTCTTTTTGAATTTCGTCGTATTTAGAAATGACAATTTGTCACGCGGGAACGGGTACCACCCCATTTATAGCGATTTTGGGGGACCTTTTAGTTTATTTGGTCTGAAATAGTTCTTATTAATGAAAAACTGCGCACGTTCGGGCGGGGAGAGGTCACCCCGCCCTGCTCTGCCATGTTTGGGTAGATAAATTATTAAACTGCCCTTATTTTATTAGTATATTTAGTTAGCTTTGGAAACCATATGTCACATTTACTCACATTCTCAGCCGTTTTAGAGAGCCACAGAGCCGTACGAATTAAGAACGATTATACCATTGAATTTTATGTTAAATTATTGATTGCCCGATTTTTATGAATTTTTTACAATAGTTATATAATTGAATTTGAGGATTTTTTTTTAAACAAAGATGAAATTTTTTGGAACTAGGTGGGGCGGGTGCCCATGAGATGAATTAAACGAGATGGGGATGGGTGGTAAGACCCTTGTTTAGGTGGTTTTGGGCGGGAACGGGACAGTGATTTCTAAACGGTTGCGTGGGCGGGGATGGTACGCCCACCCAATTCTATTTCCATTGCAATCTGTATTTGTAACGCACGTATTCAAGTTAAGTTGTCATTTATTAAATTTTTTTGATATTCTATAACAAAAGTCTATTGGACTCTGAAATGAATGAAAAAAGGCTGGCCCAATAACAGACCCAACAGCCCACACACATATCAAAACCCTAACCGACCTTGGGCCTTCTATTTCGGTCTAGAAGGACATCAGGCCATTGGGCCGAATCGAGTTTAGATTTCCGTTTTCGATGCTTATATACGCAGCGAAAATTCATTCCCCCTCTTCCTCTCCCCTTCCCCTCTCCACACACACACACACACACACACACACTGTTCTTCGTTTGCTGGAAGTTTCACCTTTCTTCGATTATATTCTGTTAGTTCTTATCATCATGGACTTGGATCCAGAGGACGTATTCAAAGACGACGATGACGACCTAGAAAATGAATTCCATCAGGTCTCCTTTTCTTAGTACATATCTTTTTTTCTGCACACTTATTTATTTTGGTTCATTTATGTTTATTCCCTTTCTCCGAGTTCTTCTGCAAATATTCCATTTGATTTTTATTTTTATCCTATTCCGAATTAATAATTGAGTGTTGAATATATATTTATAGGCGAGAGAGTCTAGCAAAGAGCTGGTGGTGTACCTGGTGGATGCTTCGCCCAAAATGTTCAGCACTACTTGTCTCGGGGTTTGCACTTTAATTCTTCGTTCTTCCTTTTTCTTTTAGCTCTCTCTATGTTATATATGTGTGTGTGTGTGTGTAATTGTTTGGGTTTTAATGGCTGAGTGGCTATTTATTAACAAAAAATTACAAGATTGAGATTGTTGTTTGAGTGGTGCAATGCATATTAGTGCTTCAGTTATAAATTCTTCATTATTGAAGAGTGAGAACTTGATTACGTTTTTGAACAATCTTTTCTTACTCTGAGTTTTTCTTTTTAGTGTATATTGTTGCTAAGTGAGTGCAATCTATTGAAAAACCAATGCTGCCCTTGAATTACTTGTAATTTCTCATTACATTTTTTGAGAATGTAATTATTAGCTTTTTGGAAATAAATTGATAAAAAGAATCACTTACAGAAAACTATCTGTTGCATACATGCTGTAGATTACCTTTCTTTTTCTTGTATTAATTTAATATTTATTATTATTATTGACTCTGGAGATTTACCATCACAACCCATCATTAGTTCATGCCAACATTGGGACAACTTGGATCATATGTTATTCCAACCCTAGTCCTGATAGTTTGGACCTAAAACAACTAGGAATTTTGTGTTCTTTTCTTTCATTTTATCATTGATTTTTCATTATTGCAATGGAATTTGGAGAATATTTATGTGCTATTTCTTGCTTTTTTTTTTCAAAAAAAATTTATTTTATTTTATTACTGGATTATTAAGATATCTATCAAAGAGTTCATTTCTTGGTCCTATAGTGAAGCTCAGACTCCCAAGCATGAGATTGCAGTTTGAATCTTGGGACTTTGGGGACAATCATTCTACGCGAATAATGCTAATGATTACACCTGTTTGAATTCATCCCTTTGAGCATCCTCAATTAACAGAGACTAATGATGTTTGTTTATGCGAGATTCAGCACGACCCGGACCGGCATCGTTTCCTGCAATAAAGAGGCCTTGACTGGCACTGGAGCTCAAGAGTAGAACCAGGAATTTAGTATATATTTTTTTCATACCTCATTGGTTGTTAGGGACCTCCTCTTATAAGCAGCTCAGCCTGAGTTTGTTGCAAGTTCAGAGGAAACATCGTTGGGAAGCTTATCAGCTTACTGAGTTTGAACATCACATTCTTGATCCGGATAACCACGTTTTGAATTTCAACTACACGAGCCCATCATTATTTAAATTCGAACCGTTCTACCATAATATTTCTTAATATATTTACTTTGCCTTTATCCCAAACGAATGGTCGGCCACATTAATTCTGTATTTGTTTGATGTTGATCATGTTTGGCATGATTTGAATCTGTTCAACTTTCCGATTCTGTTTTATGTTGCCCTAACTTATCTTAATTTATTTATTTTTATTGGTGCAACACCTCTTAATTAATTTAAAGTTTCTGGATGTTGTTATCATTATATGGTTATAGTCAATTTTATCTTGCTCGTGCAAGGTACAGACGGTTCGATGTTAGCTGTATTTGTTTGGACAGATATATATAATAATAATAATAATAATAATAATAATAATAATAATAATCAATTTATAGGTACGTTTTCCATATTTTTCCTCTGATAATGATAAAAATGTCTTCTATGAAGTTGTATTATACTTCCGTTGGTATACTTAAACTTGTATATCTACTCCTACCAAACTCCTCGCATCCAGTCTCTCTCTAACTCTTAAAGGAGTTTCTCACCGTCGATACTTACTCAACTAAGAATTAAAAATATATAAATATACATATATATTGTTCGGGGACATTTGAATCTCACTTCATCATGATGAATGACCAACATGTGGTGAGATGATCACCGTTTATCACATTTAGGATTTTCAAGGGACTGTTTTAACTTTCGTACTTTCAAGATGTATGACATAGGAAGCTTTTGTGGGCATTGGATATCTGGTAACGGTACCTTAAGCCTCTTAGCAGATTGCAAATTGTCTGCTTCCAGCATGTGGGGTAGGCAAATTGTAGTTGCTATAGATTATTTTGAACTTTTGTCACTAAATTTATTGGTCAAAGAATTTTGTTAAACAATAGAAAAAAGATAAGCTTTCTCCATTAACTCATCCGTCTGGTTTGTTTAAAGTAGCCTCCATTCTCACACGCTGAACACTAATATTCTCTTGTTTCTTTTATCTTTTTCTTTCTCCTGATTGATATATATCAGTTTGCTATTCTTCACAGACTATTGTTCATAAAATGTTAGTGATTGTTTCCTATATTAACCTAAAATGATCAGCTTTCATTGATCTGTCAATACATGCAGGAAGATCAGAAGGATGAAACTCATTTTCACGTTGCTGTCAGTTGTATCTTGCAGTCACTGAAGACTCAAATCATTAATAGATCTTACGATGAAGTTGCAATCTGTTTCTTCAACACTGTAAGATGGTGACTATGATTAAATAGAACATTTTTTTTTTTTTTTTTTGTAGATTAATTCAAATTAACAAAATGGTTGACCACGTACACTATACAGCTTCCTTTTTCGGAGCGTGCCTTTGTATCTATGTACGTTGTTTCTTATTTGTAGACACCATGTAAATATACGCTTCACTCTTGAAACTTATAATGTTGTTGCTTATAACTTGGGTACTATATTTTAATTTTGGGCAAATCAGCTGAGCTTTCCTGAAGTTTGGCCTCAGATAGAACTATTGAAATTTTTTTTTCCTCAACTTCCCTCGAGATTTCATTGATTATTTGATACCTCCCCTGCTGTCAATGAACAGTTATCCCTGTTAAAATATTCCACAGAATGCCTATTTTGCCCTTCATTTTCAATCTTAAGACTTAAATAGATTTATTCACAATTTGACTCATTATCTCAAAATTTTTAGGACTAGATGTTTCAATATTTAAATTTGGGGGCTTGGCTGGTAATTTGTCCTCTAATTTGTATGTGTTAGCCTCTGGGTGAGAATTGATCTTCTGCTTTCAGGTGAGAGAAACATTTTTCATTCGTAGATATAGGGTATGGGTTTGATATGTATGGCAGCAGATTTAACTGAATGGGAAAAACTGATGATTCAGAATAGTTGTTGGTGGAAAGCGGTAAGGGAGCTTGCTTGGTCAATATTTTCCTTTGTTAGGGGAAGAACAAAAATGGTTATATGAAGTTTAAAAGCTTGCACCTTATCTAGCGTTCAAGTTTCAAAAACTAAAAAAAGTTTCTTTTATGTGTCTTTTCGTATTGTTTAGAAGAATGGGCTTTTCAGTTACTACGTATTTTAATATGTAGGCCAAATTGCTCAAGTGGGGCTGCTAAACCCAGATAATGACTTGCTTTAAGCATGATCTAGGTGAGCGATAACCAAGTTTGCTGGAGCCCCTAGTAGCGTAGAGGCCCTAGTCAGCCAACTAGGAATGCAAGTAATGACATTTGATAATATTGGATGAACTGGAAAGTGAATACCACTCTATTATTATTTTCCAAATAAAAAAATACTTTATTTTTCAAGATCCACAGTTCACTGCTCTGCCATCCATTTTTAACTTAACAGCCCAATCCAGAAGAAAAGTACCACTAAGGGGTGTCACTTTCCAATCGATGTGTCTTGTTAAAGTGTGATTCTTACATGGCCTGCTTATATTCTTTTCCCGCACTTTCCGCTGACTTTAGTGGGTAGAGATGGAAAATATGTTTCTGGATTTCTATCTTCTAGTACATCGAATTTCTTAGTAACTCGCTTTTGAAATGTTTGAACTGCATTACCTGGCTTATTAGGTGTTAAGAGCTGAGAATATGCTAGCTACTATATGATATTTTTTTATACAATTCCATCCATATTTTCTTTATTATTTTGCAGAGGGAAAAGAAGAATTTGCAGGATCTAAATGGTGTTTTTGTATTTAATGTTGCTGAACGCGAGTGTCTAGATCAGCCAACAGCAAGGCTTATAAAAGAATTTGATTGCATAGAAGGTAAACCCTAAGGGGGCTGTCTTTGTTGGTCTATAACCAATATGTACTATATGATGATTCGAGAATTTTCAGAATCCTTCTGGTTTGACCCTCTTTTACAAAAAAACGATATTACCCACTGGGGTTATTTGAGTTTCAAGTGAATTCAGTTAAAAACGTTTTCGCAAACAGCTCAGTTCATTTACAGCCTTGATGACTTTATCTTATTTTTATTTCTTTGTGCAACATAACAACATTGACATCATATTTTCCGGAGATGTGCAAGCACCATATGTTATTAACTATCAACTGTTCTAATTGTTTAAGCTGTTAGAGGCTATTATTACTTAGGCATTATGTTATCAACATGCCCCTTCACATTTGTGCAGACTTTGCTCTACGAGTGGTTCAAGCACCTGCATTGCATGTATTACAATTATCAGATTCAAATCCTTGCCTGCTCTAACTAACTCACTTAGAACTTAAGGTTTTGAAGATAATGTAACTTGAGTATTTATAGTATCAACTCTTGGTAGCAATTCTCAAAATATTTTGTAAAACCCCTCTAGCTGCACAAAGCGAACCATTACAAACATAAACTGAAAGCTTATATACTGGTATTGGAGGAATGCACATTATTGAAATCAAAGCCCAGCAATAAAAAATTAAATTTTAAAATCTCGTCCCCTTTCTCTTTCTACCATTTTTCTTGATTTCTTTTAATAAATTTATCAAATACATTCGAGGAGTCCTACCTATAAAATAAAATAAATTAAAAAAAAAACATTTGAGGAGTCCTTTAATTTTTTTTTTTCATAAGTTGCATATGGGTCATTGATCTTGATGGAAATATTTATGAGACTTGTGCATTTTACATTCAATGTCCTAATTATTTCCTATTCTTCAAGTTTAAAGGTCCTTGCATTCTTACAAGTTTATTGTGTTTTAATTGAATAATTACTATTGGAGTCTGTAATAAACTGTCATAATACTATGAATTTCCTGAAACATTGCTAGATGCAAAAAAGGACGTAATTGAGTTCATTAAAGGATCAAGAAAAATATCTAGATTAATGTAGGAGCTAAAACATCTGAGAATGCGGTCTCTTCTCTACCAGTGCATTCCTTGCAATTTTTCAGATGAAGGAGACTTGTTAATGTGTATGAGCCATATTAACATTAGGGCTAAGCATTTCCTTCACTCAAATTCTTGGTTTCGCATGCATCCAAATGTTGACCAGATACACCATTGGTATAGTAGATTTGTTGACAATGGAAGTCCGGTTTGATTCCTGAACTTGTATGTATGCAGAATCATTTACTAAAGAAATTGGAAGCCAGTATGGAATCTTGTCTGGGTCTAGAGAAAATTCTCTTTACAATGCTCTTTGGGTTGCACAAGCGTTGCTGCGTAAAGGGTAATATTGCATTGTCTCTTTACCTTTCACTACTTTGAAGAAAATTATTATTATCACTATCTTTAATCTATCATTTTTTTTTAGTCACTCATCTAGTTTTTACTAATAGTGGCTATAATACTATTTCAGATCTGCAAAAACAGCTGATAAACGTATTCTCTTGTTTACTAACGAGGATGATCCTTTTGGGAGTATCAAGGGAGTGACAAAAATAGATATGACAAGAACAACGTTGCAGCGAGCTAAAGTAACTGATGGGAGTTCTATATAGCCTTAGTTGGATAATATTGTTAAATGAAGTTTCAGTAGTGGAGACTTAAAGCATGTCATTGTTGCATTTTTTCAGGATGCACAAGATCTTGGTATCTCAATTGAACTTCTCCCCTTAAGTAGGCCTGATATGGAGTTCAATGTTTCCCTCTTCTACGCTGTATGGTCATGCTTTTACATCTCAAGTGTTTCAATAACGTCCATTGGTGGTTGTATTCATTGAAATCAGTAACTTTGAACCTTTGTGTACCAGGAATTGCTTGGATTGGAGGGTGATGAACTTGTTCAGTTTATGCCCTCAGCAGGAGAGAGGTGTGTGTTCTATCAGAATTTACAGCATTGCCATGCATGATTGTATTGTTTACTCCATTGAAGTTGGAGGTAGTGTTGCATTATTAAAATTGAGTTTTGTTTTTGTAAATGCATCTTTCTAAGAAAATTGGAAAAATTACTTTATTAGGTTAACGCTCCATGGAGTGTTAAGCTTGATGTTCTGTATTTACTCTAGGGCCCTGAAGCATGACAAGATTCTTCTACATATGCAAGATGGATTATATTTTGTTTGATAAAACTACACATGTAACTGTGATCTGAATGATGCAAATGCAGCAAATGTTTCCATATTGGAATGACTTTTTTTGTGTCCTTTGTTTAAAAATTGTTTTCACCACATAGAGCATCAAATCTTTCTTATTTTTGCATGATTCAGCAACAATCATTGTGTTATCATGAGTTATTTATTAACTTATTTCTGTATTACGACATATGTTGGAAGTCTGCCATGGTTCCCACTGCATTTCAGTGATCCTAGGCAATCAGTAGGGGGTATAGAGGAAGGGATGTAGAAGCTTCACTCCAGGAAAAAAAGGAGCTCAAGTGGGCTAGGGGTTAGAGACATTTAAGCGTTCCAGCACCCTGCTTAGTGGGACCAGAACTGGGAAATGCCTCTTACTACACCTTATGATTTGTGGTATAAATGTGATATTACAAGGATACATTTTTAAAGTGTTGACTGTGAGTAGGGGTCTTCAAAAAGCCCATGGCCTACAGCCTGGGCCACTAGACTGAGTGGAGTGCATGGGCTTTGGCCAACAGCCTGGCCCGCTAGCAGCCTGCTAGGCATTTAAAATAACAATTGGCCAAGTGGCAGCTCGCCAGGCCAAAAATTTGAAGAAAACTTTTAGACATCAGTTTATTTAGCTGTTGGAGAACAATAAAATTTTCTGCTGAACTACACTGTTTTCAACCAAATATTTCCAGTCCTCGATTGGCAATTTATCGAATCCAATAAGCTTTCCAATTTTCATCATTATTTAGCTTCGTTTACTAGAATGTTCCTTATTATTTGAGGAGAGAACGATAATGCGTAGCTTCTCTTACATCTGTTGCTGTAATATGACTCAGATGCTTGAACTGTTAAAGAAAGAAGAATATGAAAACTTGATACTATTGGGACAATCATTCCAACAGTAGTTTACGAATTCATTATTTTTCCAACTCATGTGACTAGGAAGCTTATTGCAGTGCAATGACTTGGATTTCTGACGTTGGCTTGGTCTCTATTTCTTCAAAAGGTGTTGTGAGAATTTGTCAGCTATAATCATCAGCTCCTTTTTTTTTGTTGCATTAGATGCATTAGCAGTGATAGTGAGAATAAGCAAAATACGTTTACCACTTGATATCTGCTAATCCCATCTATAATTTCTTAGATTCCCTTTCAAATCATCATCAATATTTATTATTTGCGCAAAAAACCCAAATTTTTTTTAGGTATCTCTGAGTTTGAGAACGCCCTTAGTCTTGATACGGGATTTAGAAACATCTAGAACCTCTGAGGGTCACATCTTCAACATTTTATGTTTTTTTTATGCATGGAAAATCCTTGATTCAATAAACAAGTTATTGAATATTAATTTCTAATACAAAACTGAGAATTCTTTTTCCTTCCCAGTTTCTTTTACTTTGCTCGACTTGGAACTTCCAGAGTAGGCAGCTGGCATTCTGACTTCTTTATGTAGCGTGGTATTTTTTTTTTTTTTTTGTGACACAATTTTTATTTTAAAATTTATCTTCAAATCTTGGATTGTTTTTTTGTAAAAAAATAAAATAAAAATAAAGGCTGTGATGTGTCAAAATTTGGGTTCCGAAGGTAGCCACTTTGTGAAAATAAGGCAGTGTTTAGATACTGTACCATGTTCATCCCTCCTATCACATTGGATTAATTAGAACACTGCTCGATGCTAAACATCTAAATGGAGTAATCACTGAAAATGAAACAAGGAATAACCACAAGTCTAGGGCAGATAGGTTATCTGAGGGGTGTACAAGTACAATGTTACATGTTAAACTATATAGAGTCTGTCCTATTTTATTATAATTGTGCTTTAGAGTGTACTCTCTCTCTCTCTCTCTCTCTCTTCAAAGCCAAATTTCAATCATCAGAACAGGAATCTTTAGAGAATTATTAAAGACTGGGAAATGTTGCCACCATCTTGTTTTCTTCTTCTTCCTTTGTTCATCTTTTGCCACTTCTATTATTTTTGGTACATGTTGATGTTTGTATTTGTACATTGTTCCATGAATTGTCATGCTATCTTTTGTATCAAGAGGCCACGAAGATTGTATTCCATCATCCCCCCTTGGCAAGTTTCATATTTTTCTTCTTTCTTGCATTCCAACTTCTTCGAAATCGATCACGTTCCTCGTGGATATCAGCTCGCTTGTCATCCATTTCATCTATCATTTGACTTGTCATTTGCTCACTCTTTTGGTAACCTTATTCATGTCCTATCCTTGACAGAGATCAGAGATCCTCGGTATAAATCTAATCACCATTTTAACCTAAAAATTGCCTCAATTTCTGCTGTTCCTCTCAAGCCAAATTCTCTATTGTTTCCACTCTTTTTTGTTGTGTCTCAGGTAGAGATTATAGATCTTTAGAGGAAATTGTTGATGTTTTTGGCCTCTTTGAAAGTGTAATGGCTGTTTTGGCCTGTGTTTGTTCCCTTGGGATGCGCTCCCCTTTTTGAGCGCTTTTTATACAATTCTTACTTATTAAAAAAAAAAAAAAAAATTCTGCTGTTTCCTCTTTCATGATTTTTGGTTGAAGGACTATTAATCGCTTCAATGTTTATATTATGTGCATTATATATTTGCTTGGTTGCATGGGCTAAAATTTTGAGATCATAGTTCGTAGATGATTTCTTTGTTTGTTAGGTTGCATTAATTCTGAGCTGCTGTTTGTTTGAGTTCATTCAGACCTGGTAGTGTCAAACATTTACATGCCAAACACTTTCTGCCTGGTACTAGCTTTTATCAGTTTATAAAAATAATTGTTTTTTACTATCAGAATTGCCGATATGAAAGATCAATTAAGAAAGCGCATGTTCAAGAAGCGAAAAGTTCGAAGAATCACATTTTCAATTGTCGACGGCTTATCCATTGAGCTGAACTTCTATGCTCTGATTCGTCCGACCATGCCAGGTATTCTTGTTACTATTTTCCTTCTAATTTTGAGGCATCAAGATCTATATGCCACTTTGTCAATGTAGTTGATAAATAATTTTTATTTTTCCCTTTACTTCTTGTTCATAGGTTCAATTACCTGGCTTGATTCTGTCACTAATATTCCTCTAAAGGTAATAAATTGTCAGATCTAATTTCTTCCTTCGTGGTTACGCATATACTGATAAACTCGGAAGAGTATATTTCGTTAGGGTGTCAATTCCTCAAGTGAATCAATGGTTTGAGAATTCACTTTGGCACTTTTGAGAATGTGGTTTTATTTCACAGTTTCTTACAGTTGGTCCTCTACTAATTAGTTATCATGAAAGACACAAGATTTATTCTAACAATCTAAATTTGCTGCTGAAAAGATAAACTTATCTTTTTCTTTAAAAGATTTATATAATTTTTTCATTAAATGGCATATTATGATAATTTTTGGCTTAAAAAGATGCATAATGTTCTTTTGTACCATTATACTTGTTGTGCCTTATTTTTCCACAAGTGAACAACAAAGTTCCTACTTGTAATTTCAAATCAAACCGATTATGTTAGGAGTAACCAGCATTTTTTCCCATGTGCAACATAAAGAGGGAGAGTGACCTTCAAATTTTAAGGTGTGAAGTGATTATAATTTAAATAGTATCTAACTGATTGAATGAATCGAATCATATAAGAAATGTAGGGGGAAACAAATAAAAGGATTACTCCCTCTATCCCATAATACATGTCTTGCATGGGGAATCCAACTTTTTATGGTAGTGGAGTTTTAATAGTTTTCTATTGTATTGATAAGAGTAAAGTTTCAAATATGCCCTTACTAAAAGACAAAATTGTGCTCCGTAATTAGTGCAGTTGATCATCTTCTGTTGCACTGCAGTATGGCCAGAGACTGCTGGGTTTTGATGTTTGGTTTGTTTGGAGTTCCCTGGGTTATGCCTTGTTCCACTAGAGGGTTGATTGAGGCTTGGGGAGGCTTCTCAGTTGGGGCTCTCATTCGGGATGCCTGGAGGGCTACTCCTCTTTGTATTTGGTTGTGCATTTGGCTGGAGAGAAATCGGAGATATTTTGATGGAAAGGAGAAGCCTGTCTCTTTGTTTAAGAGTTCTCTATTATTTCCACTCTTTTTTGTTGGGTTTCAGGGAGAGATATTAGATCTTTAGAGGAGATTGTTTCTTTTTTGGCCTCTTTGAAGGCTTGAGGCTTTTTTTGGCTTTTGTGTTTCTTTGGGATCCGCTCCCCTTTTGAGCGTTTTTTTTAAATTTTTACTTATCAAAAATAAAAATAAAATTAGTGCAGTTGTATAGTTAAAAGGATAGTTTGGGAATGTTATAAAAAATAGTACATTCAATTTTGGAATAGGACATGTTTTTTGGGACATCCCAAAATGGAAAGATGGACAACTATTTTGGGACGGAGGGAGTAAATTTTAAGGAAAATTGAAACAAAAGCTAAGTAAATGAAGGAATATGTCAAATGATGCAAGTTACATAGTAATAAATCATCTCTTAAAATAAATACAGGAAAATGAAAAAAAAAAACTAAAAATGAAATGAAAAATATCACTAGAAATCTAATCTAAGTGAAATAATTGAATATCATTTCTATCTTAGACACCTAATCGCTCAAAGTGCTACCAATTTCAATGAAAAATGAATGAAAAATGAATGAACAATGAAACTCATCTAACCTCTCTAGGAGTATCTTGGGACTGGCAATAATGTCCTTTCTGATAACCTCAATACACATTCTTTTTATCACGCATCTTCTTGTTTGAGCATTCACTGTTTTTGTTGGCCTTGAATGAACCATATTGATGACAAAGAAACCGAAACAAAATAAAATCTGGACAATTTTGTGGAAAAAGTGGGAAATATTGTGGTGCTAAATGACATACCTTTCGGTAGTTGAACAAGTGTTCCATAGAATTAGTGATGCTTTGATGGGATAAGGCAAAGTCAGTCTATAAAATTTTAGGTGTTTTGGCATAGATCGCTATTTATTTCATATTTTAAGCCATTTCTTAATTTTCTTTTTCATATTCTAAATAAAAACTGTTGCATTATCTTTGTATACATTTGTGTATACATATTGAACTGCCATTATCCCCTGCAGGAAGGGGGATGTGAAGTTCATATTAAATACAATGCCTGCTATCACCTCGTATTCAATGCTTTAATGTGTATACATAGCTAATGACAGTAGTTTGTTGTTTAAGTTCCTTCTAGAACATTTGTGATGAGGGCTGAAATATATAATACAACACATAGAATGTTTTCTATTCTGAGTGTTTACTAACTCTTCGACTTCCATATAAGGTTTGGGAATTTCTTCAGTTGGTTTAGTATCCAGCCATGTCATGATTGGATCTTTTCTTTATATAATATAGAAGCACATTGTTTATCAGTATCTCTTTTTGGTGACCCCACTTAGTTCTTGATGTAGGATCAGAAAAATACTGATACCACTTGATGTATAATAGAAAATAAAGAAGGGGACCAGAAGACAGAAGATGAGATGAGGCTAACCAAAAAGTGGGGAAACAGACAAAGGGAATAGAAAAAAATAGACTGAAAGATGATGCTAGACAAACTGGGTTGAGAAGAGCAAGAACAATGGAGGGAAGAAACATGAGAGAATCCTATAATCACACTTATTACTCCATAAAAAAGCTGAATACATTCATTACATAAGAGCCTTTATATAGGCAAAATCATAAACAAATACTAAAAATCCCTAAAATAACATAAAGTACTAAAATATCCCGAAAATTAAAAAGTAACGATGTTCTGCACTTGCTCATAGAACAGATGCATACAAACTAAATTTGTGGTTATGTAGCCTTCTTCACGCTGTGTCTGTATAACACTTGTTTAGGATTTCCCACGCATCTAGTTTGATGTCTGTTTCACGCTACTTACTCAAGCTATTTGCTGAATCACACTTGTTTAGGATTTGCCATTCCTCTGTGTTCGGTGTCAGTTTCACGCTACTTACTTAGGCTGGTTTGCTGAATAATTCAGTGAGTTGGTATCTTGAGGAAAATTAATCAATATGTTTTTTCTAATTGAGGGTCGAATTCGAGTATTGTGCCAGAGATACAGGAGCACTGCTTTAATTATTGTATAATTTACTGCTTATGGAAAACAAAACAAAATTTAATGAATCAATTTTATATGAAGCTGTGTTCACTACATTAATTGATTAATAGTTTTTAAAAGAATCAGTATTAACAATCTTGTCTTTTAGTTTGTGTACTCGTTGATTTAATAAACTCCTAGTCTCGTACACTGCATTGCTGTTATTTTAAAAGAAGGTTTAGAATGTAATACAAGAAAAAACTCACATCTTGAGGGGTTGCCTTGTTGGGCCAAATTCACAATGGTTTTCTGGATCATAAGTCTGTCCTTTTGTTTCTGAATGGGGAGGGTTGCTGTAAGAACAAGTTCTAGCTCAGGTTCTTCCTCTTGGCATTGTGCAGGCAGAAAGATCCTTCGTCTGTGCAGATACAGGTGCATTGGTCCAGGAGCCTCCCAGACGTTTTCAATCTTACAAGAAGTACACTACAGGCTCTTTAGTTCATCGTTTTTATTTGGCGTTCACTGGGTCACTGTTATTATTTATCTTGAATGATTTCTTGTCCTATCATGGTAGATTATAATTTTAATTCCATCAATTTATAGTTTGCTACTGTAGTCCTTATTGCAATATATAATTGGATATTTTTCTGCTTCAAAATTTTTATTAGATTTATTCTTATATAACTGTGCCCGATATGTCTTCTCTACTCAGGTTTTACATAAATTACTGCATTTTCTTATCTTTTGTTGTGGAAAACTTGGTCTTTTGCTTGTAATGCCTGCTAGAAGTTCTAGTAACATTTGGAGCTTTCAACGTTGATAAAACCCACCACCAGTTGTTGAACCCACACATCATGGTGAATTTAGATGCGTTCATCTCTATTGGTTTATATTCATCTTCATTCTACTGATCATCGCAACTGAATAGAGATGGTGATTTCTGTTAGTCTTCTGAATCTATCAATTTCCTGGCTCCTATCAAGGAAATTTTGGATGGGGGCTGGAGATATACCGGGTGATGGATTGTATTAAGTTTCGTTTCCTTGTATGGATTTCATCTAATAGTGCTTTTGATATGGGTTTTCAATATTCTCATAAAAAAAAGGGATAAATTAACTGTCTGAAGCATAAAAGAAAAGAGCTTACTTCTTTTTAACCTTTTGGCATTGATGGCTGCCATTAAGCAATTTACGTGGTTGTTCAAGGTGATCAACATCTCACTGATCCACTTTTGCTTATGTACTCTCATTACATCTGTTCATGCTGGTCATGTACTTGGCTCACCGCTCTTCTTGATTGTCTGCATCTTGAAAATTTTCATGTGTGCAAATATGTTGTTTGGCTACCACACTTGTTTCATAATGGAAGATTTTCATAACATGTGCATTTTCTATTTTTTACACCCCTTAATATGTGCATTTACATTTCAGTGAGAATATCAAATTTTCTGTGGAGGAGCTTTCAGAAATCAAGAGAGTATCAACAGGTCATCTCCGTCTTCTAGGTTTTAAACCGTTGAGTTGCTTAAAAGATTATCACAACTTGAGGCCATCAACGTTTGTTTTTCCTAGTGATGAGGTTGTTCTGTTTCTTACCCTTATGCAATAACTCAAATTATCTTCTGAATTGTTTTTTATTTTTATTTTTATTTTTTGTGCTTTTACAATTCCCTGTCTTGCCCTTGTGTTCTTCTGAAAGGTTGCAGATCCAAGTTGTATATTTTTACCACTAATTATGTCTGTTTTATCACTCAAACTTTTTTGACATAAGTTGAACATCTCTCTCTCTCTCTCAAATTAATATATGGAGCTCTAAAAAGGTGAAGTAAGGCCCCATTTTTGCTGGCACTTTTATGTATGTATATATGCTTTGACTTCCATAAGATATCTCAGTGTTGTTTGATTCTGTACCCTAATTCCATAAGATGCTTTTATGAACTTTTAGAAACATTAAACATTAAAAGGCCACATCTAACAAATTTTATTTTTAAATTAAAATTCTATTTTTCAAAGAAAGTTGCGCAAGGATACCAGTGAATGTAACTTTAGGATGAAAGTAAGTGATAACATGTAATGAGAAGCATACAAACAACAATTGTAGGTCCACTTACCCGTATCACTATATTTCTGTAAGTTAGGCTCCTATTTTTTTGGAAGCAAAGCACTTTCTTCTCACCTTTTTATCTACTCAATTTAGATTAACGTGGTTATTGAATGTAAAAGTTATTCCTTCATGGTTAAGAACTAAAAAAAGTTAGCTGCTTAAGCTCACTGCCCACAAACACACAATGACTTGACAATATCTGGAAACCTTCTTGAAAATGTCTTTCTATTATGCAAGGAATCTGCTATCTGTTTTCGGTATTGGTTTTTATCTTGACTTCATATTCATCAATACCCGAACCAAAGGACACACAAGGACACATTCGTATTATCTAATAATTTTCATATTTTCTATGATAAAAGGTGTTTATATGTAACATAGAATGTTCTATGTGACACTTCACTTTTCTTAGTGGACCATATGGCTTACTCCTCCAGGAAGTAAATGTAGGAATTTCTTGTGAGATAGAAAGGCACGAGAAACGAGCAAATCAGTTGGAAAAAAACATAAGACTTTGTATCCTTCAGAGATGTGAGAAACACTTACTGGTTTAGAAGGTGCCAGGATGGGCTTTTCTTTCAGTAGGGATGGATGTTGTGGGTTGCCTGTCAGCATGCCTGTTATCTACTGACTGCACACATGCTGTGCTGTTGCACCCTAAGCTTGGTGCATGTTGGCATCTTTATAACTATGTAGTGGTATTATTTTGTAAAATAATCTTAGATTTGACATCTCAAAAGGGTGAGGTTTTATTGTGCCAGATGTGTAACTTTAGTTTTGAATATATGGACAGACAGACATGTAAATGCCATGGTCCTGTTTCTAGGCTTACAGTCTTACACCCATGTTGTACTATCCTTTCCCCTATTAATTATATTCACTTTGTCTGCTTTTTTCCTTTGCTGCTTTCTTGCTGGCTTTCTTGTGTGTGCGCTTTTGAGGTAATCCTTTTTAATGTGCTTGCTTGTTGAATGCTTGTCAAGTGCCACTCTGCTCCTCTATTCTTAGAAGGGTGGGCTCTGATACTCTCTCATGCATCCCAAAGTATTTTTCATATCAAATATTTTATTAGGTAAATTACTGTGGTCTTTTGAACTCTCAGTTATTTATTAGCTGATGCAGGAAGTGATTGGAAGTACTTGCATTTTCATTGCTCTCCACAGATCCATGTTACGGCTCAAACGGTTAGTACATGAACAATGTTTACACTTAAAAGTTAAAACCCGATTTACTCTTAGACTTTAGTCACCAAAAGTACTCTATATTCTTGTATGTTTTTTATATGTCATTGTTTCACATCTGTATGATTGGATTTCTGCTCCATGCTACCAAAATCCCTCGGTCATTAACCTAATAATCGGTTAATGAATTACTTATCAAAAAAAAAAAAAAAAAAAAAAAAAATCGGTTAATGAATTAATTTTCATAGCTTTGAATATCACATCAGAAGTTCACACATCCACTTGCAGATACTTTTCCCCAGTTCCCCCACCAATAAATAAATAATTAAAAAAGAATAAATCAATAAAAAAAAAATCCACAATAGCTTCAAACCTCACTCGTATGCGAAACCTCTTTCACCATGCTAATCTCTTTCCATCACTCTGCTTTACAACCTGTCCCTTGCTACCACGTCCCTTGACAAGTTGAGATGTTTCATTCGGTTTACTAATTTCACTAGAGAGCACACCAAAACTGATCCCACCACCCTTATGCCTCCTTACAGAATGTCTTTCTATAACTTTTTTAATATTTACTTACCAAAAAGAGAACTTCTTCAACATCTTCGCACTGAGGCTGGAACAAGACAGAGATAAAGCACGCAGAGGTAGCCACCTATTGGAAGAATGAATCTTCCTTGCTCAGATACTTCCTTTTCCAAACAAAGATTGCTAGACTTGCAAAGATGGTCCTTAAACCATCCCAATCTCAAAATTTCTTGCTGAAAACTTCGACCCCGATATGGGAAAAAGGACCCCCTGTCAGAAACTCATTGAGCACAGAAACCAGCTGGCATTTCTTTATTTAGAATAGAAAATTCTTCTTAGAAATATAGAATTTGACTCGCTTCCTCTATTAGGTCCAAAAAAATGTGGATATCCCGAAATCCTAATTGGACAAGATCATATGCTCTCTTGATGTTGAACTTGTATTCTACTTTTGGTTCTTCACTCCTGAACATAGAATTTACACATTCATTTGCAGTGATGGTATCCACAGTTTGAAGACCTCCAGCAAAGGCATTCTATGAGTTTGAAGTTACCCCTTCTGACACCCTCCTCAAACTCAAGGCCTACAATTGGATATTAGCTTATACACTCCATCTAGGATGCTAATAGGACTAAATCCGTCATGCTTAACACTTGGTCTTCGTTAATAATAAGTGAGAATCGATAAAAGACGATTTCAAGCTCCATTCCAACTCTCCTGTGGCATGAAAGTGGTTCATCATTGCAAGCACCATTCTCTCTCACCATAACCCAACGTTGCTGTGAAGAAGCCATCATCATTCCATTTGACCTTGGGGCTCTTCCAATTGCAACTCCAAAGGATTCCATCATCTCTCCCTTTGAGAAAGGACATTTATACAGACTCCCTGTCTCCATTCAAAATCTTGTTGAACTCCATCCCATCGGTTCATGGTCTCAAGAGCAAATCCTCCAGATAGATATTTTTACCAAAACAATTTTTTTTTTTTTTTTTTTTTCCAAAACAAAATTGCAATGGCTATATAAAAATATAGTATAAAAATTGTTTTTACATATGATTGATCCTCCTTTGTGGATCTGCCAGCAAATAAAAAGATTTAGCGTTCCTGTCTCCTTTGCTGAGCTTAAAGTGCCCAAGTATTTTGTGTGACTCATCTCTCTTACACCTTCAATGTTCTCATGCACTGGCTTCCTCTCCTCCACTCTAGCCCTCATGTCTTAAGTAAAAAAACTTACACCTTCTTTTCCATCCAAACCCTTTATTTATCCTAGCCCATTTAATTTCCATCATTCCAGAATTCCCAAAGACTTTCTTGTTCCATTTATTTAAATCGTCATTCAACATCTTCAATTTTTAAGCTAATATAAACCCTGGACTTTCTGCCACCCTATAATCCTACCGCCACCCAATCAAGTTCCCAGGATCCTAGTTTCTGAAGTCGCCTATACTCCAATTTGAATGGTCCTTTCTTGGTGAATGCTGTGGGATTGAAGTTGAGACCTCAATATTTTCATCAAACTAATTTGATTTTTTTAAATTTTATATCATGTTTTTTTTATGTTTGTTTTTATATATGTGCGTATGATTGGTTTGCAAAATAGTCATAGAGGTATATTGTGAGTGACACTTTCGTGGGTTTTACTTTTTTTAAATCAGTTTTGCAGTTGCATTTTACGGGAGTTTCACTCGTCCTCAATTGGTTGCCCTTGTTGCACAAGTAAGATATCATTTTCTGTAAGCGCGTTGATAGGCCAGAAATCTTTGATGATGGATTTAATATTTTGATCCAACTACAAAATGATTGTTTGGCATCAACTGCAACCCGCAACAGAATAAACAGTAGATGAGTATTTTTGCTAGTCAATATTCAACTACTTGCTTGTATTCTTGTAGTGCTTACTGATTCATGTCTCTTCTGTTGTAACGTTTAATTTATTTTTATTGTTTTGAAGGAATTCTTTTCTTCCTTTTCACTAGAAGTGGCATTTGTTTCATTTTCAGGCAGAACTCTGCAAGTAACAAGTGCATTTCATGCTTTGTTGAAGTGTAGGGTTTAAGCCAGCAATTAATTTAAGTTGTAGGATTCTTCAGAGAGAAGAGAATTAAAAAAACGAAAAAAAAAATTAAAAAAAAAAATCAATTTTTGGCTCAGCTATAGATTTTCAATTTCTATGACTAACTAATGAAACACATATTATCTCCTTTGAGATCTTTCTAGTCTTCTTCTTCTTTTTTTCTTTATTCTACTTTGTCATAGAAAATTTGAGTCAACTTTAGATTGGACTCTCTCTTCTAAGGTCATTATACTTCTTACACTTATTTTCTCCTTTGAGATCTTTGTAGTCATTTATTTTTTTCCCTTATTCTATTTTGTCATAGAAAATTTGGATCATTTTTAGATGGGACTATCTCTTCTAAAGCCGATTATACTTTTTCTTCTTCTTCTTCCTTTTTTTTTTTTTTTAATAAATGCTCTCTATATTTCTCTTCTTTCTTTCTTTGACTTGCCTTTTTAAATTAAGAAACAAGAGTTCCAATTACCTACCATCGCAAAGTTGGACATGACCCGCACTAGTATTTGTATTTATTGTGTTTTAGTTTAAAAAAGACAAGGCCTCTATCTGATTCTCTATATTTATATTCCATAATGATGGTCTTGTTCCAATTCTTCTAACTAATGTTAAACAGATTGTATCATCTTTCATAGGTCCATTTATTTGATCTATATTTAATTAGTAATAAATATTTCTTTGTGAATGTTCTATATTTTGGCTTCTGAACAGTCTTATGCTACTACTTTACACACCAAGTTTTTTGTTCATCTTCGAAAATTCAATTTTTTTATGGAGTCATCATTTGATCCAACTAGAAATATCAATTCCGTGACTATAATCCATCATATTTCACATTTTTATACTTCAATATGAAAGGTTATTTAGGAATAAAATTCTGTACATAGATTTGCAAATTGACAAGTACTATGGGACATTGACAAAATAAAATCCGGATGAAAAATTGGGATGGATGGAGTATTTTATTTGTGCATTTTAATTTACTTTGGATTCTTTTCATGCACCCATGTTCCCCCACTTGTGGCTTGAACCCTTTGCCTTGCCTTTGAGGAGGTGGAGGCCATTCCACCTAGGCCAAGGGCCCGGTGGCATAGTAGTTAAAGGCTCAAGGTGCACTAAGGCGCCAAAGGTCTTCTGGAGCCTAAGCGCAAGGCGCAGTATAAGGCGCGAGCCTGATCGAAGTAAGGCGCGTGTGTATAATAATGCATATTTAAACATATATTATTATATATATTCATAATCAAGCAGTAATTGCAGTTAATATAAGTAGTGAACCATAAATTTATGAATTTTGTCAAATATTTCATAAGGTTAAACAATACGATATATGGTATAGAACCTTTTAATTTAGTAGTCATTAAGTAAAAATAAAATGATACGAATAAATGATTAAAAAATACAAGGCGCGCCATTTTTGAGCCTGGAGCCTGCTAAAAAGCGTGAGCCTGAGGGCTTTATGTGAGCTTGATTGAAGGGGTCTGGCCTGTAGCAGGTGGAGGCGATCTAGTTAAGCCTTGACGAGCCTGGGGCTTTTTTGGAGCCTAGGCACACCTTTAACAACTATGCCCGGTGGTGATAGTTTTTCTTTTTGGTAGGTAAATTTCACAAACGCATACCCATTTGTCCCATAGGGGATCCTAACACTCACCTTTTTGTTTGAAAGGAGGAGAACAAGAGGACTGCACTTAAGTGCAGAATAAAATAGAATTTTTGTTGCCAGGAATTGAACTTAGTTCTCTCCAGTGGGAGCCGATGATCCTAAGTTTCCTAACCGACTAGACTATAACAGATTTTAAACAGACTTAGTTGGGCACTGAAAAGATACATATCCAACACATCAGCAAGTATAACAATCTTGTTGTAGAAGTGCTGCTTCATTGGGATAAAAAGGTAGCAAAAGGACGGCTAAACTTGCTAGGATTTAGGAAGAGTTACCTTGTGGGCTATTGCTTCATTTGTTTGAGATCTCATATAGATAATTTAATCATCTTCCATTTTAGGACTTATAGAGTACATGTGGTGAAAAGTTGATTCAGTGATAATCATGAAACCTTTAATTCACTCTTTGGTGATGCATGGGAGATCATGTTAATACATTCTATTTATCTTCTGTTTGTGGCCATGACCAGACTTGTTTACTCATGCCGCCGTCATTTTCTCTCCGAAAAAATTAGAAACAATATGAGAAGCCAGCACATAGAGGTTGGGTGACTGGTCAGCAAGTATGCTGGTGGCAGGTCAAATTTGAACTCTCTTTCGAGCAGGATCAACTGGGTTGATGTTCTCAATAAGTCTATATGGTAGTAAAGCTCATGACACTAAGCTCCAAAAACAATTGATGAACAAAATTTGATGACCATTAGGACAATAAGTTATTTGGCTAGCCTTCTCCACAATTTTTAATCCTTCTGCTGCTCTTGTGGTTTTATTTAATATCTTTTAGATTAGCTAGTCGTGATAACCTCACTAATTTTTGTTAAACTGCAGGATGAGATAATCAATGCTAGTGGTCAGGTTGAGCCTCCAGGAATGCAGATGATATATCTTCCATATTCTGATGATATTAGGCACATTGAAGAGGCAAGTAAATTTTTTTGAGTTGGCTGAAAGGGTTGATTATAAATTTGGCACTGATACTACTTGTGGCATCTTGCAGCTTCATGCTGATAAAAATGCCTCAACACCTCGTGCAACTGAGGATCAAATTAAAAAAGCCACTGCTTTTATGAGACGTATAGACTTGAAAGATTTTTCAGTTTGCCAGTTCGCTAATCCTGGTAAATGTCCATACTCAGCATATGTCATTTTGTAACATAGAAGCTCTTGTAAAAGCGGTTAACTGTGTCTCTAGTATAAATTTTGTTTCTGTTGGACTGATGACTAATTTTAACTTGTCTTATAAGTGTTATATACTCTGAAAGCATTTGAACAATGAAGTTTCAGTTTTAATGGTCTATAACCATATTTGTGGGCAAACAACTTTCTGAGATATGTTAGTATACATGTATGCAAGCAGGAAACTTGCCGGTATGCCTATCTAGCATAATGTGGTTCACAGTAATTAACTTCACTTTTTGGTGAAAATATTATAGAATTCCACCATAAACTTTCTATCTCTGATTAAATAATATCTTCAATGGTTTTGGTTGATTATGCTAACTTGTTTTCAGTTTTCATATTCTATTTTTTTAAATAACAGAAGGTTCTGTTATTTAATATTTAACTTGATAAATTAGAATATCTTTAAAAATTACATTGGCCAAAGTCATCAACTAGTAATTTATGTTACTTGGACTTGGGTACATGTATCCGGTACGGTATGTGTCTAAATGTCAGACTTCCCTACATCCTACATCTTAGGACTTGGCTTGAAATGTGCCCAAAACTTGGATATGGGTACGTGGTCATATATTACATACTTGAAAACATAATATGACGCTATAGTTCTTTTAAAATGTACTCAAATAATAAAGAAATCTAAATGAAATATGGTGAAAAAAAGAGAGATTCCATCTATCTCACAAGCAGGTAACCCTTCGTTGCTGTCACATATGAGCTTTTTTTTTTTTTTTTGATAAGTATCTGTCACATATGAGCTTTTCTTCTTCTTCCATCATCAAGATTAGAGGATCCAAGTGTCGTATTTGGTTATGTGTATCGGTCACATATCCCATACACTTGTCGTGTCATGTTGACACCTGCATGTTAAGTGGAATAGGAGAGTCCAAGTAATGTAGATAATAATCATGTTGGTTCATAAATGCTTGCTTTTATAAAATTATTTTTCTTATCTGCCGTCTTTGATTTGCAATTCAGCATTTGTATGGACATTTTCTCGGGCAATATAATACTGGCTGAGCTTGGTTGATCCAATTTCTTTATCTAATTTAATTTTCTGTCCTTGTAATTTCTCATCATTTTGTTCTATTAATTTCTAAAGGGCTAAGTATATAAAACACCCCTAAGGTTTACTTTTTGAGCAAATAACTCTCCTCTTTTTTTATTTTGGGTATAAGACTCCCTTAAAAATTTAAAAATGTTGCAAATTAGGACTTTCCGGCAGTCAACCGTTTGAAAAGTAGCATTAACAAACCATGTGCCTCGCACATGACTAATTAATTGTATTAAATACCTATAATGTCCTTTGACTGAATTTTTTACTATTTTTTAACTGAATTTTGTATACTATTTTTTACTATTTAAATACCGAAAATGCCATTCTTTAACTAAATTTGTTTAATAAAGGCCATAATAGTCATTTTACATTAACTAAATTTTTTACTATTTTTTATATTAATTGTAAGAAAGGCATTTTAGTATTTTTATCACTCCATTAATGGCCGAATGAGGGGAGGTCCTTGTTCACCCCTAAAATAAACGTTAGGGGGTTTTTCAGAACGTATAAGGGGTTATATGAGCTATATGCATACTACAGGGGTGCTAAATGCTAAAGAAAGTAGAAATCATATTGCAATATTAGTTTTCCGTTTTAAAATCTTTTCACAAGTCTCACCGTTTACTATCTCTAGTTTTTAGCAGGATGTTTTCTTTAGTATGCTGACTGAAACAAATTCTTTCAGCCTTGCAGAGACATTATGCAGTATTACAGGCCCTTGCATTAGATGAGGATGAAATGCCTGAAATCAAAGATGAAACTGTTCCTGATGAAGAAGGCATGGCTAGGTAAAGGGGCATTGATACCATTTAGTGTGGTGTTTCATTTGTATCTCAAAAATAGTTCAACCTTTTCTGTCAACAAGAAACATGATATATGCATACCAATGGCAGACCAGGAGTGGTTAATGCATTGGAAGAATTCAAACTCTCTGTTTATGGTGAAAATGACGACGAGAGGGACGATTTTGCTGATCGGGAAGTAAGTGAAGCCTCCAAAAAACGAAAAGCAATTCATGACCATGCAGTCCAAGAGTGTGCAAACTATGACTGGCCCGACCTTGCGGACAATGGAAAGGTAACTTCCTTTTTTGTTGTGTTTGAGTGCATGGTATTAAAAGTTAGTTGCATGTAGTAAGGAGATGCCTAATTCAAGTTTTCAAAATAAGGTGATTTCCATAGAAGTTTAGCTGCTTGAAAAAATTACTCTTTATATCTATACTCTGTCAAATGTAATCATGCTTTTGAATTTGATGATTTTGCATATCTACAATTCCTCAATGTCTAGGTCGTTTGCAACAATATGTTTTCTTTGTGTTTGGTAAATTATATAAGTGGAAATTCAAATAAAAAATTGTTTAATGCTACTAAGGACCAACTAAGACATTAATGCATGAAGAATAATTACCTAATAAGTATATTTTTTTTAATAGAAAACAAGAACGAAAAAGTACATGCTACACCTAGAAACTAAAGAAAGTGACACGAAACTTGCTTTTAACATGGTACATGCTAATAAATAATTTTATGCTTTCATTCTTGCTCTGGGTTAATGATCTATGACATAACATCACTGCACTCGAAAAATTTTTAGAAGGGGAAAAAAAAAATAGAATTTTACTTCAACCGTAATCTTAAGTAAAATTTATACTTAATTAAGATATGTGAGAAAAAATTAAACATTTCAAAATGTATGTAATTGACATTTAGCTAATGTCATTCAAGTGGATTGATTTGGTTATTCTTGAGTTTGTGAGAAAAGGGAAGATAGTGGATCGACTTGGTAGGATTGCATGAGTGTTGAGAAGGAAAGCTACATATTATATAAAAAATCATACATATTATAAGGAAAGCATTAACTGTCTCTCTTCTGAAAATCATACATATTATATAAAAAAAATTAAAAAAATTATATAAAAATTAAAAATGCTATCTACATTTGTATAGGTTTATATATATATTTATATATTTATATTGATTATTAATTCTGCTTCAAACTTGCAAGGAAAATGGGATGCTGTTAGCCAAGTTAGATTAAATATTGAAAATTAAAGAAACAGGTCTGCGTTTAGGCCATCAATTCGATAAATTTTGAATTAAAGCCAAACATTATCCAACTTCTCACAGATTATAAATCATAATCTTTGATTTAGTTAACTCCATGGAGAATATAATGCCTGTGATTCTTATCATTTGCAGTTGAAGGATTTAACCGTAGTGGAGTTGAAATACTACCTTAGTGCCCAAAACCTCTCTCTTTCTGGGAAAAAGGAAGCTTTGATCAATAGGATTTTAACACACATGGGAAAGTAGGGAGCGTGTGGCTTTGTAAGCGGTATGACTGAATGAGATTTTGTATCCAGTTTGTTGGCATCAGAGCTGAGCTTTTATGTTGTTTGGCATTGTCTGTGATGGCAGCAATCGTTTTAATGTGTAAATGGCTTTACTTCAAAGTTAGCATGTATGCCCAGTGGCATTGTTTTGTAAATCGGATGGATAATTCTGTGAAAGGAGTTCTCTTTTTGACAAGTCACCGTATGTGGTAGCTTTACAGCGGTGTATATATCCTATTGAAGAGTCTTGGAGATGCAATACTTGTATCAATCACAGCTCCCCTCTATCTCTCTCTGTGTGTTTTTGTTTTTAGAACATTCACAGCACGCAGGTACAAGACAATCCAGCTGTTGGCGTGGCCACAGTGCAGATACCAATGACAGCCGATGATGGCAATGGTGATCAAGACTGGTCACAGCGAAAAGAGACTTGAGACTGATTTATCTTGGGGGTGAAATTATTTTATTTATAATAGTAATTGAAGATTGATTTTGGTTTATAATGATTACAGTCTGTGTGGTGGTGCAATGCTTGTTGGTTCTCGAATGATATGGAAATCAGGACTGGTGAAACTGGTTCACAGAAAAGATGGTTCTGGACGATGTTTTGAAATCGTCCCCAAAATTGCTCACTTTAAAATTACTAGGAAAGCTTTTATTAGCGAAAGAAAACTAGAGTGGCTAGGTGATAATTGTGCAACAAGTTAACATGCTTTTTTAAAATTAAATTTTTATGCTAAATTCCACTCATTTTCATTGCAAAATTACATTATAATATCCAACAAAATGACAGCTGGGTTTGTTTATAAAACAAGGCCAGTAAATTACGTTTCATAACTAAAACATAAATTATTTGTGACAAAACAGTATACCATCGCTTATTCATCGTAAAAGAAAAGAAAAAAGAAAAAAATATGAGCCGTGCTTAGCTTGGTTATTGTGGGGTTGCTTAAATTTCTGCAAACTAATTATATGGGTGGGTCCTAATCTCTCTCGGGTTCGTGGGCAAGACTGGAAATTAAGATCTACTTTACAGTCAAGTCAACCCAATTACTTGCCCAAAAAAAAAATTCGACCCACTTCCTTTTAACACTTGACCTGAGGACTGCTCGATTGTCACTTTCAACTACTAAACATTTTTTTTTATAAGTAAGAATTAATTAAAAACGCTCAAAAGGGGAGCGAACCCCAAAGAAACAAAAGGGCCAAAGGGTACCTTAAACCTTCAGAGAGGCTAAGAAAACAATAATTTCTTCCATAGATCTATAATCTCTCCTTGAAACCCAACAAAAAGAGAGTAGAAATAACAGAACTTAAGCATACAAACAGACTTCTTTATCAATGAAAGCAAATGGTTTAAAGAATGAACAATCACAATTCTCAATGGATTTTCATCAATGAAAGCAAGCAGCGAAAACGATTCATTCTTGTCCCATACTATCTCGCCACCAACATAACATATGTAGTATTTTCTGTATTTTTACTTTCTTTTACAAAATAACTTGCAGAGCATAAAAAGATGGGAGGGTACAAGCACAACAAAATTGGGTCTCAAAATCCCAGAACTCTTCCCATTACTCATTTCTCTTTATCTCGGAACTAGTAGGTATCGGACCATAGAGACATACACGGATATCACCTTGTACTACTCGCTCATGAAAGTAGCTCTTGTACAAATCCCAGAATTCTTCCCTGCAAAATGACATAACATTGAAGAACAGAATCAACTGTTTAGTATGGCATTCCCCCCTCAATGGTTATTTCCTTTTGGAGGTATGCATGTGAATAAAACATGTAAGAGTTGACTTTTGTAGGTTTTAAGATGTCAATGCTTGCCAGGCCAAGTTTACAAGGCAAATATCTTATTGAGATGTTTATATACCATCTCCAAGGGATTAGTTAAAAGACAAGGCACACTCTAAAAGGAGGCAAATGATACTAAAGAAATCGGGAAAGGTTAGTACTAATATCAGAAACCTCGACCAAATGTTCTTGATGTTAGCATGAAGATGATAACAGAAAAAGAAGGGGAAGGGTATAGTTGAATTTTAAGGCAAACCTGATTTGAGGAAGTGTAAACAAGGAATAACCCTTAACATCTGTGTGCATGTCAAGCATAATAACTGCTAATCTTGATAGCCCCAATGCCTCCATATCCATCAACTTCTTGATCCTACAACCAATTTCAGAAGCATCCAGGAAATGAAATTATACATGCGAAAATAGTAATGAACTGAAAAGTGGGGGAATAGGAAGAAAAAGATAAAAGGCATTTCACCCAGTACTGCAATGTTATAATCAACAAAGTAATTAAAAATTGAAATACATAACCAGCTTTTACAATGGAAACAAAATTTTAATAAAAAAAATAAAAGATATACGAAGTAGTTGACGAGATCCAGTGCCAAAAGATATACTAAGCAGGTTAACTCCCAGAGAGAGAGGGAGAGAATACAATGATGAAGCATATCTCTTATCTTCTAACTGGAAAGAAAAAAAGAGGGGTAAAAAGTATGAGAAAAGAGTAATCTTCACGACCAATAACTTAGTACAAGGGTCAAAATGCTTCAAAATTGATATTGTATGTGTAAGAAATCCTAAAACACCATGCCCTGTTTATTCTCCTACTTGGTGTGCATTGAGTTATGCTAAAATATTGTAGTATTTGCTTGGCTGCTAGGTCGGAGGCTACGCAAACAAAAGTCGGGCTCGGCAGTCTGCATTTAGACCTGCCATTGGATCGGATTTTGATCCGAATTTGAGCCTATAACTAGGATATGGGTTGGAACATTCAATCCAATACATTAGCAATCCGACTTATCAAAAAAAAAAAATACATTAGCAATCCGAATCCGATAATTATAAAAATGTTGTTCATCATTATTTTTTATTCTCCTCCCACTCTCTATTTTGTCTCTCTTTACTGTTTTTTCCCCTTCAATAAAAAGTCAATATCTAGTTTCCTACTCCTTTTTTTTTTTTTTTTTTATATATATTTTATTTTTCTTCTTCAGCTTCTCTTATTTATTTTTCTTGTTTCCTAATCATTGTTTGCCAATCTCTTTTGATAAAAATATCCTTTTTGGATTGGGCTATCGGATGGATATATGATTAAAAACAAATCGGATATGGGTTAAATTTTTAACAATCCGTCGGGTTATTGTATTGAACACAACTCTCATCGGATTCAGAACAGATCAAGCCTAATCCGATCCGAACTCGATCCGTTTATAGGCCCAGTGGCATCCCTACGTCTCATGTAGGGCATGTTGGGAGAGCCTGATAGGCTCACTAGCGAGGTCATTAAGGTATGTCTCATGTAGCACATGAAGATTCCCAGATTCACTGCACTCTTTTATTGATTTTCCAGGTGATTTAGGTCATCCATTTCATATTATGTCCTAGATTACATGGTTGTGCCACATTTGGTTCATTTGTTTATCATACAATTATTTACTGATTAAAAAATAATTCAGGTGCTTCATGAAAGAGGTTTGCCCTAATCACACACGGTTGTTAAGGTAGGCCTTAATTACATCGACCTCCCTTATTGACGTTACACAACTTATGGCTTTAAATTTGAGCGGTAAAATGACATGGTTGGCCTTTATTTTTTCAATAATTTTTTAATTAAATCATATTATCCTTATCACTAACAAAAAAAACCGCCTCTCCCCCTCTCTCCACCCGCTCCACCATCGCCAACCCCTTTTTCTTTCTGGTCACATGAAACCATGAAAGAGGCCTGAATAAAGGAAATGATTCATAGCCACCTCATGTTCCGGTTCTCAATCCAAAAAGGCACCAAAGAAAGGAAAGAGAAGGATCACCATAGATGGATCTCCTGGAACAAATCTATAGAGAGTTCTCCTTATTACCAAACCACAAAACCACTCTAAAGTCTGAACTCTCCAAAACAATTACCCAGGTGACCAAACCCCAGGAGAGAGAAAGAGAGAGAGAGACTGCAAACTTTTCAGAGAACCATCACCCTATTAGATATAAATATTTATGTCGTATATATGTATGCATAACAGGGACGATCGGACAGCCGGTTCCCATTTTTGCTCACTGTCAGCGTTTAGAATCTATTCTCTCCTTTCTCCAATAGATATGGCAAAGCTTGACGGTGTTTGTTGTAATGCCTGATATTGGTTTGTACGATTTAAGGCAAACCCATATGGCAAACAGTTTTTTTTGATAAGTAATAATAAATTAAAAAAGGCGTTCAATAGGGGAACGCGTCCCATAGACATAAAGGAAACCGGGAACTAAGGCCCCAAAGAATCCAAAAAAGAAATTAAATCATCAGAAGAGGAACAGGATCTTCTGTTCACATAACTGAAGAGAGAACGAATAATAAAAAGTTTCAGTGTCGTTGTAGACGACTCCTTTCCGCCAAACATTCTACTATTTCTCTCCCTCCAAATGCACCACCAAATACAATGCGGTGCAGATCTCCAATAATCACGAACACTTCTACCGACACGACAACCTCTCCAAGCATGAATCAACTCCTTAGTAGAACGTGGCATTACCCAATACATGCCAAAAAGCCCAAGAATAAGATTCCAACAGTCGTGCGCTACAGAACATCCATATGGCAAACAGTTATTATTGGAACTTGGTATTAAGTGATAATCCTTTCTCCAACGGATATGCCAAACCCATATGGCAGATTGTACAAGCCCAAATCTAATGTAGGCATGTTAATGTATGTGATCAAACCCTATATGACAAAGCATAGAGTCTAACAGATGCATTTCTTCCTGGTGTGAAGATGGATAAGAATCTAAAGTTGACTTCATGGAAAAGTGTTAAGAGTTAGGTGAATTCAACCACGGGTCCGCGACAATGAAATGTCTGGAGTTCTAGCTTTATTCTTATCTAATAATGATGTCGTTATACTTTAATGTATTTTAAGTTTTTAATTTTTTTTTTTTTTTTTTCTACTTTCCATAATATGGGTATTTATATAGTTCCTTAACGGCAGTTAGTCCTCCGTCAGTCAGAAGGGGTAAGCTTGCAAAAGTTGGTAAATTGATGGTGTTTTTTGCCAAAAAAAAATAGTAAGCCCGGGGGCGGGGGAGGGGGAGGTGGGTTAGTGCAATTTGGCCAAAAAATAATTATATAAAAGCCAGACTTTGATTCTGTCTCCGTTTTAGGTCATGGCTTTTGGTCTTTTAGATATGTGTA